GAGGGAAATACAAATTTTGAGCAAATTAAAAGCGCCCTGCAGAGACTGTCGTTTCTTTCACAACTGCGGCCAGATGACTGCGGTCGTGAAGATGGATTGAAAACTTGAAACCAAATCCTCATAAGGCCAGAGCATTTTCAAAAACCATCCAGCCAATGGCTATTTTCTTCCTACAGGACAAAATATCTATCATAACTACCTTTGCCTGACTCCAGACGTATTCGTGCAATGTCTGCTACTTGCTGAAGACAAGTATCACAGATGAAACTAGTGCCGTCATACCCATGTAATACGCACTTATAATTCTCGACAGGGGATTACACACATCCCAGCGTCAGCGAAGAATACTGCTTTCACTCGTAAGACGCTAGCGGGTAGCATGTACAAATCAGAGAGTAGCCTGACCGATGGGAACAACAGCTCGTTCGTCACAGCATCGTCATTGGAAAAGAAAATGCAACAGTCTGGTTTACCATGGAGCTCCGATTCAGAGTTTTTGTAGGTGGTCTAACAACGACTGGCAATCAGTGACCGGAAAGCATTGCAGACAACAGCTAGAGGAACGAACTGGCCGTAGTCGGTTCTCGCTTACCCGCTGTCATCATTCACATCATACACAAACCTCAGGCAGGGAAGATTCAAGGTTTGAAACCGAGTTCACTTGGTCATTAATGCAGACGCGGCTTAAACTGGGTGCCTTTTCAGTTTGGGTTTGAAGTAGCACCAATAACCCATCAAAATTTCGCCCACCTTTATCGGCAGTACTTCGCGCATAGACAGCGGCGTTCGTCTACATTGTATAGCAGCACAAGTATCGAGTAAAAATAAGTATACTCCTGTTTCCATTCCATTGTGAAAAAAATGAGGGAAAAGTGAGTAGATTAGGAGAAACAGGGACGAAAACTACTGTAGGCGCCGAAAACACGACGATATGGTCAGATAAAGCTAAAACCGAGGCGATTAGGAAAATGGCAGACATGGCAGCAAGAGGTAGGAGCATGCGAAAATGGCAGACCAATGCAGTTGAAAAAAAAAACGAATCAGGAGACCAATGCACGGAAGCAAAGCGAGGGAAAGCAGGCAGTGACCAGGGAACAAACCTGGTTCTGCTGATCCTGTGCAGTCTCCATGGGCGCCTCAGATA